AAGGACTCCTCATTGCAACTGACGTCGAGCCACACAAATTGCAGCAGTAGTGGTGGATAATCCTTAGTCCTATCCTAACCATAATCTGACATGGACGAAGACAGCAGGCCCCTAGCTCTCTTGCCTCTCGAGAAATGAAAGTGGTACACCGTATGGGGCCACGGGCATGCGCACCCTACACACTAGAGGATTCCACTTCGCAGCCAAAGTCTGCCTCAGAAGGCACATCGCATAGCACCTACGTATTGGCTATAATACTTGGCTCAAGCTACAGAATTCCGGCAGTAAGCCCATGTTGCTCGACATTACGCAGTGCAAATTTCTCTCCACATCAGCAAGAGAGGGCTAACTTGTCCAAGCATCCGTTTTCCAGAATTCAATTCCTCCTTTCTCGACATCATCCGACTCGACCCTTTTTGTCGTCTCTCACGCGCTCTGAGGACTGGTGACTCCTTTCTCACGTTTCTTAACGCAACGGTGCTTCCCATATAGACTGCCCATATGCGGTGCTCTTGGGTGGGAAAGTTTAAATGCTCTTCTACTCCTTACATCTCCATCAGTCGAGTGTAAGCGTAACAAAGCAAAAAAGAGAACAACGTGAAAAGAAGGACAAGATGTTTCGAGCAAAAGGATTTTCAGGGGAAGGAAAGGGAGTAAAATGGAAAGAGGAAGAAAAGTAAAGGAGAGGAATTTGATTGAACAGCATTCACTTCGAAATAATCGCACAGCAACAGCAACACACAACATTCAGCAGAGCTCATAGCTTTAGGCTTTGATCGATCTCTTTTGGGATGAGCGAGGCATTCCAGTTCCGTTTAGAGTCTATGTAGGGTCTGAATGTGATGTGGCATAGTGAATTGAGCGGCTGATGAGAATTCAGTGTTTTAGAACCCCCAGACAACTATTGTACCTAGTTTTCTGCAACGATAGAAGGCTGTGTTGGCTCCGGCGGAAGCACGTACCACCATTGCAGTTGAGGGCGACAGATCGGTGCTCTTGTAGTCAACATATCTATCAGGGGGACGACACAAGATATGAGCTCTAGCCACCTCTGAAAAAGGAAAATTCCAAATATTAGAACTAAACATGTCTTATGTGTTGTATATAATAGTATCCGAGTTCTAAACGAAGTTTGGGCCCAAGACGTGGAGTTACGAGCTGTGCCTGCCCTAACGACCTACGGCAATTCCCAGCGTTCATCAAAGAAAAAGCGGGAATTCCTTGATAACCGCGTGAGAAAGGATTGATTCGTTTAGCTTCAAAATTTCCTCCGTACGATGAAACCTGGATTGAGGCCTTATGCGCGGGTCCTTTGTATGTTTTGCAGCTGTAGGAGTCCTTCAGTATGTGCGTCGCGGTACATATAAGAGACATGCACTCCTTATCTCCTGAACGGAGTAGGCGTGCATTTGAACATCACAACATAGTACTAGTAAGAACTTGTTACTCGTGGAATTTCCAGTCTGGGACACTGCCATCTTGTCTGCGTATGGACGCGAGAATATCTCAACCAGAAGCATAGGCACTCTTCATTTATTTGTAACACGCGTCCACGCCTAGCCGAACTCAGGAGATCTCGAGTGTAGATAGGGCGGGCTGCTTACCTCACTTGAACATTCGAAAAGGATTTGTCTTCTTGGGAATATTTCCAGTTAAGACAATTGTCATTCTAAATTTTTTGGGTCGAGAAATGCTTAGAATTGTCCCAACAGGAAATATGCCATCAAAAGCGCAACTGCCGCAACGTCACACTCAGCCACACTCTCTCGATCTCCAGGATATGGAGTGAATTTCGATTTCACTATCCCCACTTTGCTTTTGTAGAGGGCTCCTTATAAGTGACTATAAGACTCCACACTGATCTGGCAATGTGAGGATGGGTGAATAAGCTGTGAAGGTTGCGGATGTCAAATACGCAACCACGAGGTCTGAATGATTGGATGTGCAAAGCAACACCTAGCGGGACGCCAATAACCATGGGGAGAGAGCGGAGAGGGGGGGGGGGAGGGAGGAAGGAGATTTGAATGCTCCTTGTGCAAGACTGGGCTCCAAGAAATGAGATGAAAACTTTTGCTCAGGTTCAAGGGGAGAGGAGATTCGGGTCGGTGAACTATGTACAAGTACGGTAATTTACGGATGACGTTAGCCCAGTATTGCGCAAGAAGTCTTTTTATTGCTCATCCAAGGTTATTAACACCTTGGCTGAGAACTTGTTTCAGAACGTTCTCTGAACGTCTTGGGAGGAGAATGGTTGCTAATGTTCTGTGTTCTGTTGGAAAACATTTCCGCTGATTTTAGGTATTTCAAACTCTACTGACTCATCGATCACTTCAGTTACTGTTGGTGATTCAGTGGAAGTCGAAAAAACATCGCCCACTCTCAACAAATTCCCCACGATTTTCAACGATGTTCGTGTTTGAGAATTTTGCTTTTTTTTCAGTTTGGATTTTTCCAGAGCGTTTCCTCCTTTCGCTTCAGATCGATCCGTCGACGTTCATCGCACTTTTGCTGGTACTTACCATGCTGAGTCCGTTATGCACGATATGTGTGTACTGCATGTATCGAAAGCGACAAAGCGCCAAAAAGAGAAAGATGCCGCGCTTTGGGCCGTGGACGCTGTCACATTCAAGGTAAGTTCTCCCAGTGGGAACTGAATCTCTCAGCAACTCGAACTACTTGTTTTCAGGCATTCCATTCTGGAGACGAATATTCTCTACCGCCAGCCTATTGAGTTCCGAACTCCGCAGACGGAAGAGGAATGGCTCATTCCTAGTGATGATGTCAGCGTTGGCGGTGTAATAGGTGAGAACTACCTGAATCTGGTTGGACCCCATAAAGGTGTCAGTCCTGCACTGCAGGTCAAAACAAATGACAGTAAAAAACCAGAATTGCGCCAAACCTGCTCCATTCCCGGATGAAGTGGAGATGCTGACGATAAGATTTTTTTCTAAGAGATAGTTTTTCTAAGATCTCGAAGCCAGCATGTTCCGATGTTCTGTCCTGTTCGATGTATTGAGAAAAAAGTCCTATAGACCGTTCGGCGAAGTTCAGGATGAGGGAGGGACGGGGGGAGCATTTGCACTTTGCTGCTTCACTAGTTCCGGTTTACAAGTCTCACTCTGGTGAAACCTGTGAACTCTTGTGAAGCTGGAGCAAGCTCGTCGAGCCACCATGGTTCAACCTGTTAACTCTCGTAAGCTCACGAAATAGCACACTAGATGGATCGACACGTCGATCGGAAGTAGCAAAGGTGCAACATACCCCCCCCCCCGTCACCGAACTGCCCCGACCGTTCCCTATGAGCCGCATAATTAGCTTCATCTAGGTTTGTGACAATGAATGCGGGCTAAAACGGCAAAGTGGCAAGTGTTGCCGCTTGTCAAGCGCACGGTGCGAGGGTCCACCTTCTGGTCGGCTCCTCTCAGACCCAACCACACCAGACTCGTCTTGAAGGTTGAAAACAGTGAATTACCGGTACACCGACTGACACGTAATAATCATAGTATATACTATACCTCCTTCAAAATCTTACCACGGCTCTGAAGAGAAGTAGAATACGTAGCGCATCCTAGAGAAGGACTGATTAACGAGGAAAGCCTCATCCTTCAAGCTTTCATGCCGTTTTTGAAAAAAACAGGTTTCTGAAAAGGAATCACTCTCCCAATGTTCTAATGATGAATTTTCAGGTTACTTTTCCCTCCTGAACTTCATTAGTGACAGCCGCTAGGCGCTTAGCCTTTCTTGTTTCATTACTCAAGAACTTTTCAGGAGAGGGTGCATTCGGTCTGGTCTGTAAAGGCACAATGAGCGGTCCAAAAGGGATGGCGGTTCGGGTGGCGATCAAACAGTTGAAGACGAATGCTATCGATGAAGAGCGCGAGGAATTTTTACGCGAAATGGACATCATGAAACAGGTTGGGCAATGTGCCAAATAGTAACCCAAGCCTTTGGCTGCAGCATCTCTTTTCAGGTTGGTCGTCACCCAAATATCGTGGCGATGTATGGGCTCTGTGAAGAGCCGGACTTTCAATGTATGGTGATGGAATATGTACCCTTCGGCGATCTCAAGCATTACTTGCAGAACCTACGAAAGCAGGTGAGTTCCACGCTCACTCAAGTTTTTGATTGATTTTTTTTGCTCCAGTTTAAAACGTTTTGCTGGCACAGGAGCAAACTTAGGTGCGGAATTCTCTCTTCCCCTTTTTTTTTAAAATCTAAACAGCTACGCAATTATGATTACCATCCTCCCATTTTGGCCCATGTACGCAGTCGCGGATAGAAGGAATGAACTTGCCCCCAATCCCTCGGAAATCTCACTCCCAAGCTAGTTAACTAGGGTCATTCGAGGTGCTCGGGCTCCTCTCCCATCGCGGCATAAATTCACCTGTCCCAGCACTGGCTAAGTGATCCATGGGCTTCTCCTTCTAACGAGCGCCCTTTTCGCCCCGCCTTCATGTCCGAGAGTATGTAGGTAATAATTCACCCATCACAGTTGCGTGTACCTTGCTGCAACGAGGCGGATGTGCACGCGATAAAACATGGCCACCAAGTGGGGCTGGGAAAACGCGCGTCTGTCTAATGATAGCGCAACACTTGTTCATTAGCCTAATGTCCAACCCGCATCACCCCGACACAATGATCCACTCGAACGTCTACCGAAGAAGCTGCTCTGACATAAAGTGGATATCGCATCGATCCATCTAATATATGTGTGCTGCAGAAAAAAAACCAAACGAATTGCTCTAAAAGATACATGGGTTTTTGACAGACAAGATTGTCTGGAAATTTTGCCAAGAATCATATGTTCACTCTCAACTAATTTTCTCACCCTGAAAGCTAACCCGCCTAATTTTGTATCTTGAAGATAGTAATTTCATCCAACTTTCAAGAACCATTCGTTATATAAGAAGCCATGAACCATCCCCCTTGAGCTTTCATACCGTATAAATTAAAAGGGTGATCTCTTGAATCACCTCAGACTTAGGCTACAGCATTATGCTTTGGAGCTCCCTTTGCTCACAAGGGAAGGATGGTAGGTCGAAGTGGCCATTTGAGATGAGATGTATATACCCTTACGGATGAGTCTTCGGAACGGGGATTACCAACTCGTCTTCACAATCATCTGGCCGACGAACTTCAAAACAAGGAGCCAATTACGGAAGGTTTTTCAGACTGACACACTCTCGACTCAACATACGAATAAGGCGCGTGGGAGCTTTTCGGCTGTGACATAACGAGTGGGTTGGTTGTAAGCGTCTCCAGGATACGCATGTGGTCGAAGGGTTCGAATCCTTGATGTGTGCTCTTTTGGCCATTTTCATTACAATGGACAATCTTGGAACCACAGTTTTTGCACAACTATTCTGCTTGATAACTCGTCGCTGACGCCCTCATCACTTTTCTCGAGAATGGAGCAGAAAACATTCTTTAACTACGGAAAGCATGAGTGGATTCATTCGACTCGTCATTGACGTTCCCAAGTATCCCTTGCTATCGTTTTTTGCAGAGTTTCCGCTTCACAATCGTCACAAATAACGTGTCGCATACCTCTTCTCGCGCCAACTGAGGCGAATTTGTCGATGACTTCTGCTCCTTTCTCGTTGTGCCCAAACTCACAGAACGAAAACTTCAACAGGGTGTGGGCACCATTTAGGACTGAACATCTTTCAACTCTATGTGAGTTGATAAGTGGAGTGTTTTCCGCGTCTTGATCTCGTCCGGCACGAACGGCACGTCAAAGCCACGTCGTGGGACCTCTTCCACGGTGGTCATCACCCCCCCCCCCCCTCGTCTGTCGCGCAAAACTTCGTGTTGTTTCGGGTCCAGTCGACTCGTTTGGAGAATCGAGCCATTTGTCGGGGCGAGCTCATAAGTTGCAATGTAGTATTATTGTGAATAAGCTCATCAAAACAATAAAAGATGAAATCAACAGTCAAAAATGTTCGCGGTGGAACTCACTATATGGCTCCATCCCTTTAGAAACATGACGTCACGGCGATTATCAAGCAGAATAGTTATGCAAAAATTGTTTTTCAGTGCACAGAGACCACTGTCATAAAGATGCAAAAAGAGGTGGTGCATTAAGGCTTTCGACCCTTGGCATCGCTGTCGTCGTACTTAAGCAGACGCTACCCCACTCAGACCACGATTACCCGGCGGCGACCGGGAGTTCCACGCCGCTTATTCGTATTGAGTAAGCGTGTGCTCCGTCTAAAAAAACCCCCGTAACTTTCTTCTGGGAGGTCCGCAGCAGATCCGGAAGACGGTTTCCGTAATCCCCGTCCAAAGACCTCTCAGGTCGTATCGCCACCTCATCTCAGATGGCCACTTCGACCTAGCATCCTTCCCTTGTCAGCTCGGCAGCCTAACATTTTGTACCCGTTTTTTCATTTACAGCTCTCGTTGGCCGTGTCTACTCTGAAGACTTCGCTTCGAATGGAAGAAAGTGTTTCGGGGCCGATGCACTCGTCTTTCATAGGAACCGACCAACTACAGTACTCCTTGGATCCGGCCGAACTGCAATCGTTTGCAGCTCAAGTCGCCAATGGCATGGTTAGTTTCGGGTCTAATGCATCTTTTCCACTAGGAAATGTTCGGTTATCATCAGCAAGTTGATCACTTATGAGCTCGTTTCGGACACTCCTTAAAATCGCCTTTTTACATGACTTGCCCATTTTTCTATAATAGTTTGATGAAGATTCTCTTCGAACTAGTTCTACAAAACTTAAGCCTTTCCACTGAGTTTCTGCTACTAACGATGAAATTTGTGTTTACAGGCTCACCTAGAATCGCTGAACATAACCCATCGAGACCTCGCTGCTCGTAATATTCTGGTAGGCGAGAACAAGCAGCTGAAGATCAGCGACTTTGGAATGTCGCGACTGGGGGTCTACGTAAAGATGAGCAAAGGTAGGCACAATTGGTTTTAAATTCATACTAGAGAATCTGTCCGAAGACAGTGGTTGAGCAAAGCCGTTTTGTATTCAGGAGTGATTCCACTGCGCTGGCTGAGTCCAGAAGCGATCCGGGACAATGTTTATTCAACGAAAAGCGACGTTTGGGTAAGTGAATGGGTGGTAGTTCTTGAGTTGAATCATTTCGTGCTATCAATGTTTAGTCGGACCGTCAGTGGCTAGTCAGACTATGATTTCTATAGCGTAAGCTTGGAAACTGGAAAGTCTGACGCACTTTATAGGCCTGTTTGAAGGAAGGCCACGTCATCATCAAAATTGCTCCTATTCCACACTCCTCCAGCACTGCCTTCAGTACGACCTTCAACCGAATTAGTTCCACATGCGGAGGTAGCGGGCACGACAGCTGGGGGCGAGGCGGTTACTGCCAAGGTCATTGGTGAAAGGGCTGCGAGAGGGCATTTGGCCACACCCCACTTATTCCTTCCACTTTCAACCAATGATGTTGGCAGGAACCGCCCGCCCCCAGCTATCCTTTGTAGGGGACCTTTGCCCTTCACTAGCTCCTTTTGTGAGTCCATGTTGAATGACTTTCACTTTGGTGATACTCACTAGCTTTTGCGAAGCTCGAAATGGTGCGGGTCAGCCACTTTGACTACAGGAATTCACAGTTCTTCACACTTGTACAACCTTAGTTGGGTACCATTCGGCGGCCTCACCAAGCCGAACAGTGTCTGAAAACGTTGTGCTACTGAGGTCGGGACATTGTGAGGTGTGCGGTAAACCACCAGAAGTTATAAAATTTCTACCTCTCCCAGTTAACTCCATTCCTTTTCATATTAGTAGATCCATCCCTTATAAATACGACCCACCTATTCCTATATTAGTATTTCTCGGCCCTTGAAGAAGTTGCAGGCCATGAACTGTGTTTTTAAGATGTATGATAGTTTCACTATCCAACTAACTCTGTTCCCTACTGCTACTCTCTATTTTCAGGCTTATGGTATCGTATTGTGGGAGATAGTGACATTAGGTGGATTTCCTTATCCAACGGTGTGCGACAAGGATATGTTACAGTACTTGCTTGATGGAAATCGACTAGAGAAACCAATCAGCTGTTCTGACGAAATGTAAGAACTAGTGCTTCTATCCTGTACTACCTTTGATCACTGGATTCTTGGAACGGCTGTCATCCTGATCAGGAGAGAAAGTCAGGGAT